AGGGCAGTATGTGTGGGGCAGTGTATGTGTGTGTGTGGCAATGTATGTGTATGTGGGGCAGTGTGTGTGTGTGTGGGAGCACTCTGTGTATGGGGACAGTGTATGTGTGGGCAGTGTCTGTATCGGGGGCAGTGTCTGTATGGGGGACAGTGTATGTGTGTGTGGGGCAGTGTGTATGTGTGTGCGGGGCCCTGTATGTGTGTATGGGGGAGACAGTGTGTGTGCATGGGGGCAGGCGTGTGTGTATGGGGAGCAGTGTGTGTGTGTATGAAGAACAGTGTGTGTGTGTATAGGGACCCAGTGTGTGCAGAGTGTGTGTGTATGGGGGGGTGGTGTGTGTGTGCATGGGGGGTGTGTATGGAGGGCAGTGTGTGTGGGGGCAGTGTGTGTGTGTGTATGGGGCAGTGTGTGTGTGGGGGCAGTGTGTGGGGGGCAGGTGCAGTATGGGGGCGGTGGGGCAGTGTGTGCATGTGGGGCAGTGTGTATGGGGGCAGTGTGTGTATGGGCCTGCTTACCTGTACAATCTGATGTTTTCTCACTCCATCTCCTGAAGCAGCACTTGGCAGGCCAGGCTCCTCTCCTCACCCTTCATCCATGCTGTATATGAGCCCTGAGCACGGAGCAGGGGGAGAGAGGAGACCTGGCAGTGAGAGCAAGGTATGCTGCCAGGTCTCACGCTGATGAGGGGGGGGATTTATTTACAGGGTGATGGGTTGCACGGGGGCCTTAGAGTCATTATGGGGCCCCTGCAACCTTTCACTGAATTTGTTTTGGTTTAACTTACTTTTCGCTGAGGAGATCTCTAATCTAAACTCCACATCAGAAGCATGGCTGTGCTGCCGGGCCCCCTGACTGACTTGGGTCCTCGGTCCATGACCGATCTGCCCGACCTGTCAGTCCGCCCCTGCATAAGAGTATAGTTATCACAAGGTGAACAATGTGTGTTATGGTAAAAGCTCATGTAGTAAGGTTCAACTTGTATGTCCCTGTGCATATCAGTATGTGTACTATATAATCTTTAGGAGCTTCTTACAAAGTTCTATAGGAATGTTACATATATAACTTATGAAAACAGGAATAAGGGCTCAGATATATAAATAACACTTAAAGCGCGCTCTGTCACCATTATTGGAGGCATGGGAAAGTAAGTTATACTTACCTGAACCTGTCCCTCATAGGTGCCGCTATCTTCTTCCATTTGTTTCTTTTCAGCTCTTGGCACCTGACGTCAGCGCTCCATAGCATTGAGGTACCCCAGGATCCTCCATAGAAAGAGCTTTTTTCCGTATAGCTATCACTGATGATAACTGTGGGAAATGACTGAGACAAAGTAGTCCCCACTTTGTCTCAGTAAATCTTTTGACTGGATCGAATTTTCAACACAGTTAATGTATTTCATGAAGATTCTATATGAAATGCTCATTTTTATTATGGTGTTGACAGAGGTGGTTTTACTTCAATACAAGGCACCAAAATGGTGTCACAGGAAGGCTATCTAGCCCACATGCAGATAATTAAAAATACATGATTATTGATTATTCAGGGATCATGCTTAATTTTTCTTTGAAACATGCAGTTATAAACATCAGCCATAAGAAACAATATCTGGACTAGAATTTTAATAATAGAAATAGAAAGAAAAAACCTTAGATACACGTGCCAGCCTTGCATGACTCATTTTCCACAGTACACCTACTGTGTTTTTTTTACCCCCCCCCCCTTTATTTTATTTTCCCTTTTTCCTCCTACCAATTTGTATGTAGCCATACTTCCAATATTCAACTATTTATTTAATGCACATTCCAGCATAATACTATATACCATCTATACGTTTCATCTTTAACATGTACCACTTTCCTGTACGAACTGTATAATCAATGCTATGGTTTCTCTTTCTCTGTTCTCGTTATTTGCATGATGTCATGCGTTTGAGCAACTTAAATGCATTAAACATTGAATGACAAAAAATAAAAATACATTTTAAGTCAATGCAGTGTAAAAAAGATTTGCATCAAATAAGCAATTTAACTAGGGGATAATCATAGTATCAGACCACAGTAAGGAGCCTAAACGTGCAAAATACTGCTGAACACAATGATCAATATGGCCACAGGATTTCCAAGCCAATTAAAAGTAAAGCGACTGACACTCTTCTATAATCTAGAAGAAGGCGCCAGAGAAAGACAACCAGCTGAAAGGAAGTGAGTCATTTATTGGATTAAGATAAGGCATAGGAACTGTAGAGTAAAGGATTGTGAGTTGCATGTACAGAGTTCCACCATTTGTTCTTAGGCTGGAATATGTTTTGTTGTTTTGTTACTCTGTATTACCAGATGTACTGTTCTTTATTCTCTTATAGCACAACCAAATGCTTTTCATTATGGTGCAAAGCATTAGACGTAGCATCTCTATAGCATGCACACGACTGGAATAGCCATTCACTGCAACCTCGGCGTCAACATAATGCTATATGGAACAGGCCTGACCAATCTAACATGGGCATATGGGAAAGAAACCTAATTTCA